CGACAGCTACTGACAGTAATAAAGGATCTGACAACCACAACTAACAGAACCAATGTTATTTACAAGATACCATGCAAAGACTGCCAAAAACATTACACAGAGCAAACCGAAGCCATCAGGATTCACAAAGACCAATTAACTACCAAGAGACATAACCAACTACCACTCATTTCAGTACACCTGGACAAAGAGGGATACCAATTCAACTGGGACAACATAGCCATCCCAGGACAAGCCAACCAAAGACATGCACGAGAATTCCTGGAGGCCTGGCACTCAAACCGGAACTCATTAACAATCATGTAGAGCTGGACCCCATATACCAACCACTAAGAAGCAAATCCAGAAGTAATGCCACCCATACCAAGAAACTGGGACATATAAATAGCAAGCGGGAGAGAACACCGACGCTGCACCGGAGGCACAGTGATGATGTTACCTAGTATGATGACAAAACATCTGCAAACAAACTTACCAGCTGAACAAGCAAGTCAACAACTGCATTACACCCTCTCTGCATAATGTTTTCCTTGACTCATACATGGAATGTGAGCTTTGCTGGCTAAGCCAACACTTATTGTCCATCCCTAAGTATCCTCGAGAAGGCGGTGATGAGCTGTCTTCTTGCCTTTCTCTCAGATGGTTATGAGTATTTGGAACTCTCCATTCATAACCAAAAAATTTTCAAATGTCAAGCACCACATTTAAAACTACAGTTTCTCAGTGTAGTGTGACATGAATGTTGTCAATATTTTGCAACATTTAACTGGGCATAAGTGGGTCCAACCTCATTACTATAACTTTATAATACAAGACTAATTGTTATTCAAAGTTCATGTTATCAGGGTTCACTTCCTGTGATAGCTCATGTCAAAGCTGGTAGTAGCAAAGGAAAGATTTACTCTAATTTCTAACTTGTTGCGACATAGTTCAGTTTTACTGCTCCAGTTCACGATTTCAGTACAGTATGAACAACCACTTTGTTCATGAAGAAAGTAAGCAGTTTCTTACTATATATCGTTATGGAAAAATCCCAGTTGACCTCAGTCAAGCAAAATGTTCTTGAGCCAGCAAAGCATTTCCTATAAATTTGGTGAACCTATTCAGAGAAATCCAATCTACAACAGTAAAGTTAATTACAGCTGACCTTCATTTTGGGAGTTAGAAGTCATCACAGGCTGCCTTGACAAAAAATATCTAAAGTTGCAGTCACATTACAACATCAGCAGTCTACTAAGCAGTTTTCACTGTTCAAGTGTTACTGAAGTTGTACTGTAAATTTAGAGATGGGATTAATTTGATTGTCACCGCAGAGGTTGTAACTACAGCACAATGTCAAACTGCATTTTAAAAATCTTTTGAAACCTACTGCTACATGCATTTAATTTAAATGTTTAGACAATGCATTCTCTGTGGCCTGTACACAAAACATTTTCCTTCTAATTGCTTGTGGAGGAGGTCTCTATTGCATTTAAGAATCAAAGTTCCAGCTAGACCACATGAAAAGTATATTGTCTCACTGCAAGCCGCGAAGGAATGAGTAGGTGTAGCACAAATGTCATATTTGACACGACAAAATTAAGAGGTTATCACAGACCGTCTTGAAGATTCCAAAATATGAAAAGCTCTAAGTTATGCACAAAGAGAACAGCCATCGGGCAGAACATTCCAATTGCTGGCATTCATATTCATAAGTAATTTGTATCAAAAACATCTTTCTTCTATCTTTTGCATTCTTTTCTTAGTGACATTAACTCAGTCCATAATACAGTTCACTGCATACCTGCAGCCTTCCAACATTTTACTTAAGTGCCCATTCTTTTAGGACTTTTGAAGGCTTCAGGCTCTGACAATATTCTGGCAATAGTGCTGAATATTTATAGTAAAGAGCTTGATTTGCTCCTAGCTAAGCTGTTCCATGTAGAGCTGCCAGACTGGCATTTACCTTACACTGTGAAAAATGGTCTAGGTGTGTCCTGTACACAAAAATGACAATTCCAACCTGACCAATTAACACTCCATTAGTTTACTTTAGATCATCAGCAAAGTGCCAGAAGGTGTCATCAACAGTGCTATCAGGCAGCACCTGCTTACCAATAAACTGCTCACTGACACAGTTTGGGTTCTGCCAGGGCCACTTGGCTCCTGACCTTATTACAGCCTTGACTCAAACATGGACAAAAGGCCTGACCAGAGGTGAAGTGAGAGCATTAGCTTTTGATATGAAAGCAGCATTTTATCAAGTGTGAAATCAAGGAGCCATAGCAAAACTAGTGTCAATGGGAATCAGAAGGAACATTCTCCACTGGATGGAATCATACCTGGTAGAAAGGAAGATAGCTGGGATTGTTGACGATCAGTCATCTAAACTTCAGGAATTCTGTGCAGAAGTTCCTCAGGTTAATGTCCCAGGCGCAACTATCATCAGCTGCTACATCAATGATCTTCCCTCCATCATAAGGTCAGTAGTGGGGGGTGTTCACTGATGATTCCATAATGTTCAGCACCGGTCACAACTCCTCAGGTACTGATGCAGCCCATGCCCAAATGCAGCAAGATGTGGACAATATCCAGGTATGGGACTGACGTGGCAAGAAACATTCATGCCACACAATTGCCAGGAAATGACCACCTCCAACAGGAGAGAAGTTGACCATTGACATTCAATGGCACCACCATCACTGAACCCTACTATCAACAAACTGGGGCTGCCATTTATCAGATAATGATCTGGACTGGCCATATAAATACTGTGGGTAAGAACAGGTTCAGAGGCTAGTAATCCTGCAGAGAGTAACTCAGCTCCTGACTCTAAATGGTGTCCATGGTCAATAAGGCACAAGTCAGGAGCGTGATGGTGTGACTGCCCACTTAACTGGATGCGTGCAGCTCCAACAACTCAAGGAGCTTGACACTATCCAGGGCAAAGCTGCCTGCTTGATTAGCACCACATCCACCACCATCTACAAAATACATTGTAGAAATTCTCCAAGATAGCTTAGACTATACCTTCAAAAGACATGGCCATTATCATCAAGAAGGACAAGGGTAGCAGAGGAACATCACCATTTGCAAGTTCCCCTCGAAGTCAGTCACCATCCTAATTTGGAAATATATCACTATTCCTTCAATGTCACTGGGTCAAAGGCTTGGAACACCCTCTATTACAGTTGTGTCGGTCTATCAACACCAAATGGGCTGCAGTTTAGAAGAAGGCATCTCACTACCACCTTCTCAAAGGCAACTAGAGATGGGCAATAAATGCTAACACAAACAGCAATTTCCCATCTCATGCATGACAAAAACAAAAACAACTAGAAGTGAACAACTTTCAGGCCAAAAATCATGTGTATCATTCACCTTCAGGGTGACAGAAGTTCACAACTTACTTTTTACTTCTTACTTCTGCAATATCTCAAGCTACTGACACTAAGAATTTTTGAAGTTCTGATTTTCACATCACTGCCAGCCAGGTAACAGAATGATCCAATTGAAAATGTTAAGCTCATAAAAATATAACAGGAGAGATGGTGACATAGATATAAACCTGAACTTTAAACCAAATACCCTAGTCTTCAAGAAACAAGTCTCTGGGGATCAAGTTGCTTGTAGCTGTGGAGCACTGTTTGGAAATTCCCAGCATGGATGATGAATGTCAGTGGATTATTAAACTATGATGTATTCAGTTAAACTTAATCTTGTTCTCATCTGATGTCCACATGCACACTGACGCAAGGATCATAGGTAAGTGATTAAAAGTAGATATGCTCCCTGCCTTTTCTATTTTCTAGTCTAGGAGACTGGTTGCAATGTTTCTACAGCTATCCAGACTGAGCTTAATAATTTCACAATGGACAAGGAATTGAATCTTTTTTTAGCCTCAAACACCATCTCTGCTGGATATTTATCATTTATTAGCTTCTAAAGCTTTGATGTAACATTTGGTATTAGCTTATTTGAAGTTAACCATGGAGCCTAATGTTGCACATATAGTCTTGACCACCAAAGACCATAATAATGTCAGTGCGAAGTAACATGTTTAACTTCTACACTATTATTACTGAAGTGTTTGAATGCATTAAGGCCTGAACAGCAGTACATCACAATAATTTCCTATTAAAACCCCTGGCTGTAAAGTGTTTTCAGATGTCTGGTGGTCACAAAGCATGGTCATATAAATGGACGTCTTTCATTCTTTTAGAAATTCTTACAAGTTAGCCAAAATATTATAGTTACCTTCAATTGAAACAAAGCAGATGAAAGTGTTTATTTATAATAGGATGAACAGATTGCAAATAAATGCAGACACTTGCATTTTCTCTGGGTGACATTACATAATGTATTTTGCTTCTGGTAGATAATAATTTATATAATTTCTTTTCTTTATGGCCCCTGCCCCCACCATTTCCACTTCTATTTTAGCTCCAGGCCGTCCCCTCTTGAAGGTGGCAACTGTTCCTGGTAATGATCCTGCAGGCTCCATTCATAATCTGGCATCTCATTTAAGTGACCATTCTTCATGCCTAAGTCTAGACAGTTTGGAAGGCTATTTGAATCTGGATCCAAGACAGCAGTACTCAATTTTATCCTCACTTAACATCGATGTAAATGTGGTTCTAATAGGAGCTACTGTATGAGCATAGAAGCTAATAAATGGTAAACTTTGTCTGCATTTTCCTCTTTCTATCCTGTATTTATTTTCTTTTTAATTTATTCATGGGATATTGGTATCACTGACAGTGCCAGCATTTCTTGCCCATCCCTACTTGCCGTTGAGAAGGTAGTAGTCAGCTGACTTCTTGAACCATTGCAGTCCATTTGCTGTAGGTACACCTACAAGTGCCATACATTTTCCCCAGCTTTGAGTAATGATACAACAGAGATCCAGAGAGTTGGGACTGGAGTGTGTTCTAGAATAATTACACTAAATGATACAGTCACCATTTGAGCAAACAAGAGAGGAAGCTTGCCCCACCTCTTTTAGATGTGCAAGGAAATAGTTACATTTATATTACTTTATTGAAAATAACCGATACAAAAAAGCTCTGTTCATTAATATTTCAATATCCAGTATTATGTTTTAACATTATAACAAAATACTATAAACCAGTGGTTTTCCCTTTCTGCACGTGCATTGCAAAGATATTTTTGGTCAGTGATTTTTTTTTTCCATTGTAATAAATAAACAAAATCCATACAGTCAGACTTATACAAAAAGAACACATTTATTTTACATTAGCAATTCATACTGAAGTTCTTTTATTATTTTGTGTGTTTTGGGGAAGTTTCTTTACAAAGTCATATCTCAAAGTAACACATACACATTTTAAACAGGCAGCAGCAGAAATGACATGCTTTAAATAAGCTGCAAATAACCTAAAATAAGTTAGGATATAAAATAATACTAAAATAAATATATACTGACAATTTAAAGGATGAATATAAATAAGTTGTTTTAAATATTAACAGTATAATAGGAAATTACAAGTGGTGGATACACTGTAATTTCTACTCTCCCCAGTTGCTGGGGAATAGATATGCACCCAATGGATGCAGTTATTCTACTCATTCAGTACATGAACAATTTGACTTTTTGTCTCTTTTCTTTTAAAGTCACTTGTTCTTTCATGGTTTCTTCCATCAATGAGGTAGATTTTGTAGCCATTTTGTACCTGCAATTAAAAAGTATCAATTGAATTGATTACTTTAAAAACATAGACATCTTGACTTGTACACATTTTTGTCATAGTAGTGGATAAATGGGTATAGACTTTAAAAATTGTCACTTCATCAACACTAGCACCAATTCCGCCCTGCAACAATCATTTTTGGAGCTTTCATGCTGTTGTGAAGTATGAGCCCAACCACATGGAATACACATTTTAACCGTAAATTAATACCTACCCTGGTATCACTCAGAATGCAGTCTCATCCCTTTTTAAAAATCTTTTAATGGGAGTCATATCATCTTTTGTTTTATCAATACAGTTGACAGATCACTTTGGTTTGTAAAGTACTTGGGTAAATCTCTAAAGAAGTAAAATATATTTGTGTAATCTTTCCTTAACTTGAACAGTTCACCAAAAGATTCACATCAGACTGGAGAACAAACGCAAGGTCAGTAAAAAAAAAAAACTTGACCATTTTGTTAAAACGTTGTCTTCTATATTTCAACGTATGGCAAGACAGATACGAAATAGGCTGGTATTATCACACATCAGCAACAATGTTCAACTGATAACCGTACATTTCAAAAAAAGGGTGAAATGGAGCTCATGAATCCAGTCACCTTACTGGGAATTGTTGATCAGGGCCTTACTGATTTTGCAACTGTATTTCAAATGGAAACAGATACATTTTGGGTCAGGTGATTCATTCACAACCTGTGGGCCATGTGTTCCACATTACTAATTCTAATCTTTGAATATTAAAAAACAGTTCATTCCAATAGTCATTGTGTTAGTTGTCTATGCCATGACCAAGGGACACTTTTAAACTAACTACGTTTTACTGGCAAGTTGTCTGCTTTATAAACTAGTTATCTTGCACCATCATTCTTCCCATCCCAAAGTGTCATTAAGCAATTTTCACCCAGGCATGCTGTGTTACTACTTTAGCTGATAAAATAATGTGCATTGGTAACCCTCTGCTTAACTTTTCTTGATATGTAGTGAAAATAGCTGGTCTCCACTTGGATCCTCTTTGCAGCCACATAGAGTTTAGGAAGTAGGTAACAGGCCTGAATCCATAGTGGATTGTAACAATGTGGCACAAAAAACATTGAGGCCACATTATGCACCCAATGTTATCTTGCATTTTTAAAAAATGTATTATACGTAATGTGAATCCTCAGAATAATTTGTGAATAGCTTACCATTTCTTTTGAGTCAGTGACTGTTGTTATTCCCAAGTTTAATCTTCTCTTCATTTTTTACATCATAACTGGCAACTCGTCTGTGATATCTATCAATCAAAAAACAAAGATTAAGATTTAAGGCAATGGCAAAAGCATATTAAAATATATATAGTTATTTCACACAGGCTTTTCTTCTGCCATGCTTATGTTTGATAAAAAAATCTATTTTAAAAACCATTGTTAACTATAAATAGTTATCAGAAACTATTTTGATACACATTTTTCAGATGATGATTAAAACGGCTTGATTACTGGAATTCTTTTCATTTTCTTTATTCAAACAATACATTAGTTATGTATTTTAAAATAATTTTGTGATGCACTAGAATTAGAAACAGTTTTTAAAAAGATACAGAGAAAAACATACAGATTACACACCCAAGAACCAAAAGGATAAGGATTACAGTGAGACTAAGGGAGGAAAGCACCACCGCCACAATTGCCAGAGTAGTTGTATTGTCATTTGGATCTTTTGGATGTTCGACAGCTAAAATGAAAGTACCACATCGGACTCCTTCATATCCTGAAAAGCACCTAAATTAAAATCAAGTACATTTTAATTTGCTTACTAAATATACAAATATATAACAAGTTAATATATGCAACTGTGGCATGTATTTGCTTTCTTAAAATAAATATTGCTTCAAAATATCTCTGGAAAGTACATTAAGTAATAAGAACTATTTGAATTTTATGTCGTTGTGGTCACAAGACTTCAACTAAAAAGATGTTTATTAAATAGCTATTGTTCATTAATTATTTCTGACCTGTGTTGTATTAAGTACTATGCAAATCACATAATACATTAATATTTTGCTTAAAATGTTTTGAACAAAACTCATTGCACTTTCATGCATGTAGGAAAAATATATGGAAGTTCAATTTTTGGATCACCAGTGATCCCATTAGACTTATTCTTAAATCCTTAGTGGAGAGTGAATAGTCTGAGTAGCAGCATTTCATTCTGCCGGTTTGATTTCTGGAGGTGCAACATTAATACTCTAGACTTTCTGTCGACTAAAAGTAGTCTTCCAAGTTTCAGAAACTCGTACGTAAAAAGGTGTGAAGAGACATTGGCTTGACTAGTTTTGAGGGCAAAAATTCCCAAATAAATACCTCTCGTTTTGCGTCAACAGCAACAGTACAAATTAAACTAAATTGGCGCTATTAAACATCAAGCGTTATCCGTTTCCTTGTTTGGTCCGGAGGCGCTGGAGATATCCGCTTTGTCTAGACTTGCTGGGACACAGGTATATATATAATGTTAGCTGTTTACTTTTCCCACTTTTCCGTCTGTTTCCCACACTCACCGGAGGCATCTCGATGTTAATTACGTGGCCAGATTTACCCCATTGTCCCCTTTTCCTCCCCCACTTTAAATTACACGAAACCATCCCTTCATCTACAGACCGAACAGATCAGAAAATAAAAATGAATACCTGCATGATACCTCTTTAATATGCTTCAAATAATGACATTCCCCATGAATGCAGAAATCTTTGTATTTTCTGTAGCAGGGATTCTTTTTACCCTTTCTCTTGCCACGTCTGTTTTTCCTTTGACGTCTTCCTTTGCCCACTTCGGTCGTTGAGGAGTTTCCCGCAGGTTTGTAAAGGGCCACTAGTTTAAAACAAACAAGACACTGGTGTCTACATGATTATGCGAAAAGGAGAAGGTAGAGACAGCTCGAATTTCACTGAGCTTTTAATAGGTGCCGTCGACACTATACTCCCTCCCCCACTCAAGAAAACTTGGTTCAATTTTGTTCAGGAATACAAATTCTGCTCCCGGGGGCAGAATCCGCAGTTTGTAACCTTACATGTTAATGGCTTGCAGTAGTGAGGTCGGTGGAAATCTTCCTGTAACATTACCTTCTGGTACTACAGGAGTCCGGTCACTGGGTGGACCTTCCGCTGTTTGTACAGTCGGTTCCCCTTCAATAACTTCTCCGAGCATGGGCATAATATCCGCCTCCCCTCTTCTGCGACTCCGAGTTAGTTCACTCTCATAGCCTTCGATCGCCGCCCCCATGGCGGTACGGCAAGAAACTGTGAGGAACAACAATTTGATCACGAAAACATCAACCAGACGCTCGATTCAAAATCCCCCTCATTTCACCAACCAGGTAGTGAGATTTTCAAGTGAATGTAGTAAGAACTAACAAACACCTCAGAAAGTGAAAAAACAAAGGGCCGTGCTCATTATTACCTTGGAGTTCTGTAAAATAAAAAGCAGCCGTGGTATCTGATAAGATAGCGCCGCTCCTTTAGCACTGCTACGTTCTGTTCGAAATTCAAACATCAAAAAGCCTCGCCCAGTTCGATTCACGTCGATACTTTTGTGTGTTTTATTTTAAACCCGCCAAGTAAAAGGCAGACTCACCTGCGACCAGAACAAGGAGAGCAGCTGCGATTGAAATCCTCATGTTGAGCAAAGACCACTTTGCAAAAGTGCAACCTTTCAGTTCCCCTCCGGCACAGAAACAACAAATGCCGGCGCTTTGATGGACTCGTTCTCAGAAAGTTGCCGGCAGAATCCCAGCTCCCTAATAACCAGATCAACTCTGGCACCTTAATTTAAAATAAACCTGGGTCGGCAGTCAGGGGCCGGGGGCAAATCCAGACAGGCGATTTGTTAAATATCTCGAGTACTATTCATATTCCTTGCAGGCTGGCGGCGAGTTAAGAATAACTGGAGCCTTCTGGATATATAGGCAGTGAACCGACGAGAATGACGCCATCCCACGTGTCTTATTTGGAGGGCAGAGCACAGAGTGCAGCTTTGTTGGGACCGGCAGCTCCTGGCAGGCTCAGGATCAGTGTCTGTTTCTGTGCAGAAAACTTCAACACTGTCAAAATTATCTCATGCAAACGCTACTTGCCACCACGAAACCGAATCAAAATGAACAAACATAGGAATATTGCAGTTTAAATACCTTTTTTCTGCTCTATAATAAATACTGGCAGTAGTTTAGCGAGTTATTATTCATTTAATTTATATGGGAAAGTACAGGCTTTTCAGACGCTCTGCAGCCCACTGCTGCTGAGTGGGAGTAATGTATGTATGCATTGAGATCGGACTCCGGGAGCTGTGTTGATCCTGTGCAGTTTCCTGTGCATTTCTGTGGTACCCTGCTGCCTTGCTATAAGTTTATCCAAGATTATTTTGTTAATTGTAGTTTTACTATTTATTTAGTTGCAAAACATCCTCAGTTTACTGTGAGCATTGGCATGGAAAATGTCAGGCACAACTTTTCTAACGCTCCTTTGCATGTCTAAGCGTTTTAATTGAACCAGTGTTCAAGGACATTTGGATAAGAGAGTTTCACCCTGCCACTGCCCTTTGTGTTTAAATGTGTTTCCTGATTTCAATCCCAAATGGCCCAACTACCCCACGTGTTTTTTTTTTAAAATTGTGTCCCCTGCTGAGGTTTACCCCACCAGAGAAAATCTCTTTCTCCCACTTTGTTGTGGATCTGGAGTCACATGTAAGCCACACCAGGTAAGGATGGTAGTTTCCTTCCCAGAAGGACATTAGTGAACCAGATGGGTCTTTTCTGACAATCAAGTTTCATGGTCCACCCATGGTGGGAATCAAACCTGGGTCCCCAGAACATTACCTGGGCTTCTGGATTGATAGGAGAGAAAACAAGAAATCTAGATCTCTGCTCCCACCTCTGCAACCGGATCCTCAATTCCTGACCCATAGAGCGCAATCAGTGAATATAGACAATCCTCAATACCAGTGCCCCACAAGGTTGTATACTGAGCCCCCTACTGTACTTCCTGTACACTCACGACTGTGTGGCCAAACTTCATCTGAACTCTATCTATAAGTTTGCTGATGACATCACCATTGTAGGCCGGATATCAAAAAATGACGAGACAGAATACGGGAAAGAGATAGAATGCTTAGTGACTTGGTGCAAAGATAACAATCTCTCCTTCAGTGTCAGCAAAACTGAAGAGCTGATCATCGACTTCAGTAAGCAAGGAGAAAGACATGCCCCTTTCTACATCAGTGGAGGTGAGGTGGAGATGGTCAAGAAGGTCAACTACCTAGGAGTGGCGATAATCAACAGATTGTCCTGGACCACCCACATGATGCGACAGTCAAAAAGGCACAACAATGGCTCTTCTTCCTCTTCGAAGCATTGGCTAGGTGACTGCTTCACAGACCATCTACGTTCTGCTCACAAAGAAGACCCTAAGCTACCTGTTGCCTGCCACTTCAAGACATCATCCTGTTCCCTGGCCAACATCTCTATCTCTGGCTTGCTGTAGTGTTCCAGTGAAGCTCAACGCAGCTGGAAAACAATACCTCATTTTCCGCTTGGGGACCCTGCAGCCCTCCGGACTCAATGTTAAGTTCAATAATTGTAGGGCCTAAACTCTCCCATGTCGTAGCCCCCTACCCCACACACCAGACCTTGTTATCACATAGTCTACATTACACACTACCCATTGTTAGTCACTAGTCGTCCCCATTAACAACTATTCACCCTCTCAGCCAGATCATTATCAACACCTTTGTCTGTTCAGCTGTTCTTCTCTCTCTTTAGGCTCTATCCTCTTGTTTGCTCCCTAATCCACACCCCTCCCTATTTTTTGCATATAAACTGACATTTTCCCAGCTACCATCCGTTTTGAGGAAGGGTCACTAGACCGAAATGTTAACTCTGATGTTTTCTTCACAGATGCTGCCAGACCTGCTGAGCTTTTCCAACAACTTTGGTTTTTGTTCCTGATTTACAGTATCCACAGTTCTTTTGGCTTTTATTTAACATTATCAAAGACCCCTCCCACCCTGGTTATGATCTCTTCCAACCTCTTCCATCAGGCAGAAGATACAAAAGCTTAAACACACATGCCAATAGGTTCAAGAACAGCTTCTTCTCTGCTGTAATCAGACTGCTGAATGGACCTTTCAAATTTCAGATGGAATGTTGCTCTTGTTTTCTTTACACCTTCTGTGCAGCCATAAGTTTGTATGCCTCACTCTGTTCAGTCACCCTACGATCTCTATGTCCTTGTATGTTACATGGGTACATGTGACAATAATAAATCAAATCAAATCAAATCAAGCTCATGCAATGGATAGTAGGATGTTGAAGAGATAAATGAACAATGGGAGTGGAAGGAACAAAGTGACTGGGGAAGCAACAGAATGGAAGCTGTTATTATATTTAGTTATTATTTTCTCTATCATCTATTATTTTCCCCTTCAAATGCTTGTCCAACTTTCCTTTAAATGAATCTATAACTAATATTTGCTTCAACTGCTGTGTGTGGCATTGAGGCCCGCTTTCTAACCACTCTTTTGCTTAAAAAAAAGGTGTTTCCAAATCCCCTCTTGCATTTCTTAATGACTGTCTTATATTGGTGGCCTCTAGTTATGGTCTTCCCCACTGAGAAAATAGTCTCTCTGTATCCACTCTCTCAAAACCTTTCAAAATGTTAAATGCTTCTATTAGGTCACCTGGCCCTCAGCCTCCATTATGTTGAAAAAAAATAGCGAATTAAACCTTATATATACCCATGCATTTCAGATAACATCCTTATAATCTTCCCCTTACCCTGTCAAATGTCCATATTTCCTTTTTATAGCATGGTGACCAGAAATATAGACAATACGCTGTGTGTGGATTAACCAGAGAGAGAAGTAGAACAGTACAGTAAATTAGGGTTCCAAACAACATTGAATTACTGAGATTTTCTTGAATCAGGGTTTCCACTGACCTGCAGCAGTCTGAAAGATAAGTAATTTTAAATTTCTTGCCATAGACCATCTCCTCCTCCACTTCATGATGTCACTGGCTACAGTTAGAGACGTCCTTGTCCTCTTTGTCACTAATTGCCACTGTAGAAAGCAGTAGATGTGTGCAGTACCTTCAGGAGGGGACTGAAGAGTTGGAACTCGGTGTGTTGGAATTCACAGTGCACTCTGAAATTGGGAGCATCTTTGAAATCAAGGGGTTCTGTCATTGGCAGGGGAATTCTATGAAATTATAGTATCCTTGAATTTACGAGGGTTGAGAGTACAGTGAAGTGAAGGAGACTGGGAAATTTTGGATCTTGGAAGATGAGGGAGAGATGAATAACATTGGCAGCAGAAAGATGACAGAAACACATGAATGTTTTCAACTTGCCAAGACACCTTTGACAGCGTTGTCCAAACCCATGACCTCTACCATCTAGAAAAAGCAGAGCAGCAGATGCATGAGAACACCACTGCTGCTGCAGGGTAACCAAGAGGATGTCCATCCTCTGCACTAGCCCACCCACCAGGACCTCCAGGTCCAAAGTAGGATGCCAGTTTCTCCTTATTTGCTGCATCTGTGACAACTGTCGTGAACAGGGCAAGGCTGATCCAGACTGGCAGTTCTTGTCCGGGTACGCAACTACCTTTTAAAGATGGCACCGGTGACAGAGGTACCGATCCATTCTGTGATATCCAGGCAGTGGCAGGTTTGTTTGCCTTCAGCAAGTGGGAGAATTGGCATCACTTGTCAGCGTACCAGAAGGGTGGGGTAGGTAGTTAAAGAGGCAAGTTTGGAATGATAGCATGTAATAAATCGCTAAGCCTCATGGAGATAAACCTTCCAAGAAACTTGTCAAAATTGACACAAAGCCAAAAAATAATAATATACAGCTCATTGATACTCTTGCCACATGACAGAAACTGATTTGAGATAGCAGATATCTTATTTTTATTAGAACGATACAGGAAATTCCGTCTGGGATGAGGACCTCAGAGACAAATATTTTTTCCACTAAAAGGAAAATAAACCTGCTTCAAAAAAGCATTTTCTTATACAATTGGATTACATGTTTGATTACAATAGCTTATCAAAGCATTTGACTAGAAGAAGTCAGAGACCTGATATTGCTTGAAGTATATCATTGCTAATTCATCACCAGAAATCTCCAACCTTCATTTTTACTTCAGCAAACCAAAAGAGTATTTTCAGGCCTACAACTCTTTCAATATCCTACTTGAAGAAATAGAGTTATTGGCACATTAAATAATTGAAATACATATTACATTTTTAGAAATCATCTTTGCCTGTGGGTGTATCTTGTGTGTGTGAAGATGTTTGTTTCAATTACGCTTCAGGTGTTGTGAAAAATAAACATTTATCCTTTGTTTTGATTTAAACTTACAAAAAGACTGCTTTCTGTTTGTTCTTTTAAGTCACAGCATTAAAGGGATGAAAACATGTCTTCTCAAAGATATATCTTATTGAGGTCAGTTGAGAAGTAGAAAAAGGGGGAAATTATTTCACATTTCTCCCATGTCCTTAACAATCCACAGAAGTCACATGACACCAGGTTACAGTCCAACAGGTTTATGTGAAATCACAAGCTTTTGGAGCACTGCTCCTTCTTCAGGTGAAGTGGAGGGAAGTATGCAGGCACAGAATTTATACGTTTTTTTCTTCTTTTATTTTTTCTTTGTTTTGTTTGTTTTAAACGCCCACACTACTGCCATGCAGCAGCAGTACTTATTTTTTAACTTTTCTCCACAGCACCTGTGTTGTGTGTGTGTGTGTGTGTGTGTATGACCATTATTTTTTGATTTTTTTTTCTCCCTTTCTCAAGTCTCTCCCCACTTACGTCTGTGATTCTTCTGGCACTTTACATCAGCTTCAAAATTTCCAGTTTGCAGGTTCCAGTCGCTTCCTCTTTACCATGGATGTGCAATCCCTTTATACAACCGTCAGGA